TTGGGTGTGTTGTTATTTGACAATGTGTTAAAATGACATGCTGTAAAAACCTTGTTTATATTATTCACGCATAAAAAGTTCTCCAAATTCAGGAAGAACTGTGCTGGGTTGGCAGCAGGGAAGTCAGTTCCTTGTTGGCCCCTCCCAAGGGAATGTCCTGCAGGAGTGAACATCCGTCAGACACAGACTCTGCGAGTAGGAGTGAATTTTGTTTACTTTTCCCTGGAGACCTCAAAGCAACAAGCTGAGAAGGAGCTTTTTAAATTCCCATATCACAGGTAAGGAAAGGAGGAACAAAGAAAGAGGAAAAGAGAACGAGAAAGACATAAGACATAAGTCTTGGGAACTATTTTCCTGGTTCTAACTTTAGACAGAGACCCTTCCTCTCTCCACAGGCCATACCCAAGGAGAGTTAATGTAAGATGTAGGTGCAGATAAAGATTTTGCTCCACGAGAAAGCCTTCTATCAAAGATTTTTATAGTTGCATTTTCATTTTAGGATTAAGATGGTTGATGGTTTCTTATTCTGGAAAACTCACCTGCCCAGACTTGGTACTTTCTGACAAATAACCCGAGACAAACCCATGATGTGTTTCTGTCTGGGTCCTAAAGAATATTTCAAAACCCCTTAAAGTAGCATCTGTACCATAGGAAAAACACCAGTGAATGTTTATTATCCTCAAGCTAATAATAGTCAATAGCAAATTTCCCTTAAAGCTATTTGTAACTGACATCCTGAAGGACTTCTGCGAGGGCCAGCAAGCATCATCGGGGTTCACCCGAGGACAACCTAATGAACCTTCAGGACTGAGAACACATTTGCAGCCTGCTGGACGCTTCCAAAGCCTCTCCCTCTTCCGAGGGAGGGAGGGAGGAAGGGGGAAAAGATTGACACCCAAATCAGGATCTAATGATTCTATAAACTCCAAGTCCAATCATTTGTCCATTGATTCATTCATTTAACAAATATTTATTGAGTTCTTCTTAGGTGCCAGCCAGAAGCTAGGCACTGCACGGGAACAGAATAATGAACAGGCCAGTTAAGTTTCTAACTCCAGGGAATTTCTAGAGGAGACTGAGAGAAACAAGTAAAATATGCATATACACTATAATAGTAATAAGATAGGCAATGATAAATGCTCTGAAGAAAACGAAACCAGAATGGGAGAGTTGCACCATGAGGTGAGTGGGGTCACATACATGGAGTGCTCAGATGATGAGAAGGAAGGAGTAAGCCCTGTGAGTCTGGGGAAGAACATTCCGGGAAGAGAAAGGGGGAAAGCTTGCAGCAGGAACAGGTTTGGAGTTGAGGGAAGAGTGGGGAGGAGGTGAGAGCAGAGAGCTGCCAAAGGCTCTTTGGATGAGCCTCAGAGGCCTGGAAAGGAGCGCAGATTCTATTTGAAACGTGACGGAAGCCATTAGAGGATTTTAAGCGGGAAGTGAAGTGATTTGTGCTTGTAAGTGCAAGATGTGTGAAGAATGGACAGAAGCAAAGAAACCCTGGGGAGCCTGTTGGATGATGTCGCCTGGACTGGGGGTGCTGGCTGTGCTTTTTGTTCTCAGCTGTAGCCCCAGCCCCAGAAAAAGCCTGGTATATAGTGACTGAGGGATGAATGAAATCTGGCCGGAGGGACCTTACAACTTCCCAGATGAGATAAATATGCAAATAAAACTAAGACACAAATGGGTGGTGCCAAGGGCCTAGGTTGGCTGGGGTAGGGGTTGGGGTGCAGGAATGTCTTCCAGAGAGGTGTGAGGGGAGCCAGGCACAGCAGCTGGACCCTGCCAAGCACTCTCCCTCCTCCTCCCCCCCCCCGCCCCCCGCAGGTGGGAAGGGGGGAGGGGGGAAGGAGGAGAGGGGGAGAGCTGCTGATACAGCTGGACAGAGCCTCAGGGGCACCCGGCTGGCAAATCTGCCTCAGAGAGCTGAGCTGCTGCTCCTTTGGGAAGGAGAGGGCACTCTCCCCTGCAGGCCTGCCTCATTGTCCCAGCTTCCAGCAGGGCATACTCAGAAGTTCCTTTCAGTCCCCCTCTCTGCTGGCTGTTCTTGAGGCAGGGATGGGCCAACATCCTCCACACCCTTTGCCTATCCATCCGGAAGTACTGAGTCAACAGCCCTTTCCCAGAACCCACCTCAGCTTCTTCCCACACCTGCAGCGCGGACTGTTCCCAGGACTGAGGTGGGGCAGGGCAGAGAGCGAGGTGGCAGGGTGCAGAATCACACCCCAGGCTCTCCAGATAGGTGCCTCTCAGACTGGCTGCGCAGGCAAATCCCCCAGGAAGCCTGCCCGCAAGGATGGCCAGCTCTGTTCTGATCCTGGAGGGCTGGGGTGGGGCAGAAAGTGTGCCTTTCTCCCAGGCTGCAGGGGATGCTGAGGCTCGCGGAGCAGTCTTGGAGGGCGCCCTGCTCTATATGCAGCCAGGACAAGGTTGGCAGGGGAGAGAGAATAAATATAGCCGCGAGTTACTGAGTGCCAGACTCAGGGCTGAGGGCATTATGTGACTAATCGCTCTAATCCTCCCCTTGCCCTGTGAGCTGGCACCATTATTTTGCTTATCTAACAGATGAGGCTGAGAAAGAGTGGAGAATTTGACCAGCTCTCATAGCTCACCGGTGAGACTCGCCCGGCCATCAACTTCAGAGCATGGACTAAGAGAAATGTCAGGGAAGAAATGTCGATGGGCTGACTAGGACCTGTTATGAGTTGGTAACTAGAGCAAAGGTCAAGAAATAAATACCCCAAACCTCCTAATATTCACCACAAAGGGAAGGGCGGACACGCAGCTGTAACTGGACCCAGTGGGGTCTCAGGAGTGCCTTGGCTTCTGGACGAATGGAGATTAAAAGTAGCTGTGGCAAAAAAACACACAAACAAACAAACAAACAAACAAAAAACAGAAAGCTCCCATGTGTCCTTCTCTGCTTTGTGTTTACCTAAAATGTCTCCATTTAAGATTAGAATTCCCCCAGATTAAAAAATGTCTCTCGCCCAGCCTGCGTGGCTCAGTGGTTGAGCATCGACCTATGAACCAGGAGGTCATGGTTCAATTCCCGGTCAGGGCACATGCCCGGGTTGCGGGCTCTATCCCCAGTGTGAGGCATGCAGGAGGCAGCCGATCAATGTATCTCTCTCATCATTGAAGTTTCTATCTCTCATTCCCTCTCCCTTTCTCTCTGAAATCATTTTTTTTTAAATTTTTAAATCTCTTTTATTTCTGGTGTTGACCCACCTCACTGCATCCAGGGCTCTGAGCAGTGTTCTCAAAATATACAGTAACGTCTAAACCCTTTATCTGCTTTTTATTTGTGAAGTGGAATAGACAAGCACCTATCACAAATTAACTGAAATGACTACACTGCTGCACAAGCTAAACAGGAGATATGGGGCAACAGAAGCAGAGAGAACTGGAATGGTTTAGTATGAGCGGCCTTTCAGCGCTGGGCAGGAAGAAACGGTGAACAAAATCCTCCTGGCTGGGTGGCATGCACAGCGAAAATGAAATTACTGCATGGAATGAAATGAAAATGAAAATACTTTAAGTATTTATAGCCAGTGCCACTCAAGAAAAAGCAACGATCTGGCTTAAATCCTTACACACACACGCACACACACACACACACCAGCACTGGGGGAGATACTAATCCAAACTCTTCTGGGGAGAAAAACCCTTGAATGATATTCAGGATGAAAGCAGTAGCTTACATTCACATCCCTAGTGTTGCCTTTCTCATTTCTGTAGATTTCAAATCAGACCCAAAAGACCATCTAATGCAGTTAAATAATACTGCGGATAATGTCTCCAAAATGAGACGTAAGTAAGAGAGAACTTGTTTTTTCCCTAGGTTGTCCTAATGCTCAGCTTAGGAATCCTCCAGACACGCATAAGCATAATCCTGTGCGCTTCCGCTAATCACGTTGCTTAAGCACCCCGCAGATCTATTTCACCCCAGGTTCCTGGGGAGACGACTGACCACAGGTCTATTTCACCCCAGGCTCCATTGGCAGTGATGCCTGTTCCTGGTCAGCCTTGTGGGGTCCTCGGCTACAACAACCAGACGCTCGGTGGGTCTGTCTTAGTTTTACTTTTTAATACCTGTCCTAAACCTGGTGAGCTCCCTGTCCCAAGCAGTTTAGGGACACTGTATTCAGGGAATTCTATTTTTCTTATAAAAGCAGAATGAAAATGCTCTCATCTGCCCTGCTCGCCCAGGGCTTGGAGCCCATGGGGTCCCCGGGCCTCCATGCTGCAGACACTGCATTTTTACAAGAGGTGCTCTTTCTCAGCTCTTCCTCTAAGTGGCAGAAGGAACACTAAAACTCCGATTTCCTGGTGCAGTGCAGGGCCTTTCTCCACACACCCACTGTCCCTCCCCTTTCACTCTGCCCCTCCCGCCCCCACCCTCTATGATCTCAACTCCCTTATATATGTGCCCTGTTGTTATCTAAAGTTTTACCCTTCGGGGGGGGGGGAACCCCAGCTTTCTAACCAAAAGCCCTAGATCGATCAACTCTTTAAGGCTCCCTTTGTATAGCTATGTTAAATATATATTACTACCTATATTGAATATATAAAGAGTTTATATCTTCATGTTTCCACAGAAAGTAGGAGAAGGAAAAGAACTCTGAGGGGCTAACCTGCCCAATAAAAGTATAATATAATTCATCTATGTGATTCTAAAGTTTCTAGTAGCCACATTAAAATAAAGTAGAAAGAAACAAATGAAATTCATTTAGTAATATAATTTATTTAGCCCAGTATAACCAAAATATTATCATGTGAGCATATAGTCATATTTAAGATTATTCATGAGATATTGTGCACTCTATGCCAAAGCCTCAGAATCCAGTGTGTGTGTTACCATCACAGCACACCCCGTTCAAGCGCTGAGACCCTCCTGGGGCCGGTGGAGGCGGGATTGTGCTTGGTAGATCTAACCAAGCACCTGACAGCTCTAAGAATCTTTGACAAGTTCTTTCATTTGACTGCTCTTTTAATAGTTTCTTCCGTGAAGGCAGACCATGGCTTCACATCTCTCTGGACACCCTACCTAGCATGTACTCAGTACAATGAAGGAAGAGGGAGGGAGGGAGGGAGAGAGGGAGGGAGGGAGGGAGGGAGGGAGGGAGGGAGGGAGGGAGGGAGGGAGGGAGGGATGAGTTTCTAATTTACTTTCATGCCACTTAAAGCATCCTATTTGAAAATATAATTTAAACATTAATATGAAATTTTTTGAAATCTGAAAGTAAGCCTTTTTTTAAGCATTGGAGAAGGTGTGTGGGTTTAATTTGGCGGAAATGTCCATATAGCCTTGGTTCTGTGCGAGCTCACTGAAAGCAGTGCTGCACACTTGTCACACTTTTACTTCAAAAGTAAATGTGTCACCAAGCACCCACAGCCAGCCAGAACCAGGTTACTCAGTAATGGTCAGGACAGAGGCCCGAACTCCACCAGGCGCTAAACCAGCCCCACTCCTTTATCTGAGAGGAGGGGGACATGTGTGGGAGGGGGTTCCCCCAGCCCCAGACCGGACTCACTCACACCCACAATTCAAGGGTGCTTGGTCTCCTTTATGGCACCTGCCTGTGGCAAGCTGACAGGGTCCAGCTCTGGGCAGTGCTGGCCTCTGTCCTAGCTGCTTCACCAATGTCATCTTCAGCTAGAGCTCCCCTTCTTACTGAGGAACCTGAGGCCACAAGCCTGAGCAGGGCTCCTTGAGAAGCCTGAGAGCTCCCTGAGCATGAACTGGCCTCCCCTCTTCCAGCTTTGCCTTAGCTCCCAGCTCCCAACCTCCAGGTCTGCTCGGTCAGCACAAGGCCCTGCTCTTTAAGTCACCAACTAGGCTTCATGTGTTGTTCCTCTGGGCAGGGCCGTGCTGGTGAGGACTTCCAGGACCCCTCTCCCTCTCTCCCTTTGTCTTTCTTTCTCTCACTATAATGACATTCTGATCCTGCCCTGACGGCTGAGCTGCATGAGTGCCCCACTGCAGCCATGTGTCCTGCCTGATTCTGATTCACACTCATTACATTGTACTTTGAACTCAGCCTTGGTTATCTGCTGCCTCAATCACTAAAAACAATCCAAACCTCTTCCCATCGGAAGAGCTGCTACCACCTCTCCCAGATGAGCTATTAGGAGCACAAGGCTTTCCTGGTCCCGCCCACCCACCCAAACACAGCAGGGTGGACGGAGGAGTCCAGCTCACTCACTCACTCCCTGCTTCTAAGCTGCCCTCATGGGGCTTTCAATGCAGAAAAGATTAAGGACAAGTTCACAAGCACAAAGATGCAGCAAGATAGATGCCAAGTTGGCAGAAATTTTCACCAACCTCTTTGAAAGCAATGGGGATGGTAAAGTTTGGGGTGATTTACTTATGCATGCAGTAGTTGTGAGCCAGGCAATAATAAGCAAGAGAAATAAGCAAAATATTACAGGAGGTTAGATAGCCATGAGTGACCAGGAGAGAATAAACCCAGAGAAGGCGGATATGAATGTTATCTAAAAGGAAATTCTCAAAGTAAAAGTTAAAAGATACCTTTATCACAATATGAATTATGAAATACAGCTTAACACACAGAACTTGCTGGCAAAAGAACCTGCCTACAAAAGTGCTGACACATGGCAGGTGCAAATAGGCCAAGAGATGTGGCTCAGATAGAGCTCTCGAAAGTGGGTCTCAATTTCTTCACCTGTGAAATGGGGAGAGAGAGGGAGCTCAACCTGAATAGCTCGTGTCTTCTAATAGCAGACACAAGAAAGGATTGTGTGTACAAGAGCAGTTTCTAGGGCAAACATTTGGAAGAAATAAAATGGAATGGGAACCAGAGGCGGCTGGGAGTCAGCAGGCAGACCGCACGGCAGGCCTGACACTGTCCGGAACGAGGCTTGGGGAGGGCGAGTGGGACACTGCAGTGCACTTTCAGCCAAGCTGACAGAGAACCCTCAAGCCAAAGCCGCCCTCCTGTCTGTGGGAAACAGGCCTCCCAGAGCTCCGTGGTGGGTCACAGAGCTAGACAGCAGGGGACGGGCAGTCACACCCTCTGCAGTTGGAGACGTGGCAGGCATTTTGGGGGGCATCCATGGTCCACCACTTCTGCCATGTATTCGTTTGCTCGGGTTGCCACATCAAATACCACTGGATGGTTTCAACAACAGAAATGCATTGTCTCACAGGTCTGGAAGCTGGAAGTCAGAGATCAAAGTGTTGGCAGGGTTGGCTCCTCTGAGGCTGCTCTCCTTGGCTTGTAGATGGCCACCTTCTCCCTGTGCCCTCACATGGCCTTCCTCCCTGTGTGTCCTGTCCCATCTTCTTATTACGACACCAGTCCTATTGGAGTAAGCCCCTCCCCCCCATGACCTCATCTTAATTACCTCTGTAAAGGCCCTGTCTCCAAATACAGTCACATTCTAAGGTACTGGGGGTTGAGACTCAGTATATGAGTTTTGGGCGAAACATGCCATATATTGACCATAACATGCCATATATTTGCTTCTCCCCACAGTGTCAGGTAGCAGTCCTTCCATGGCCCCCATGCCTCTCTCTTCCTCAGAGGAAACTCCAGAAGAAAGTTAGTGGGACCAAGTCCCCATAGATACCGCTGAACTCAAGGCCAACCTCATATTTATCCCCTCCCTCCTCCACTATCCAGTCTGATTTCCCTTTACTTGTATCTCTCGTCTCAGTAGAACTGATGGCTTACCTGGGCATGATACCCAAACCTCTTTCCTGGAGGGCACTGATCCACTCTCAGTCCAGGGTCGTTGGGGGGACCTATTCATGGTTTCTGTGGGGCAGAAGGTAATAAGAGGCACCCAAGGGGATCCCCTGCATTTCACTCAAATGTGTAAAAGGAGCCCTTCTTCCTGCACTGCTCGGGGTCACTAACCCCTGCCAGGATGGTGGCTCTTGTCACGCACTGTCCAAGATGCCCTGGTGGCAGCCACAACGTAAAGTTCCCTTACCATCACTAGGCCCTCCAGCCCTGTAGTGAGCCTACAATTGCAGGGAAAGGAAGCACGTAATCCCCTAGTGAGTCACCAGAGGGATGGCAAGGCCACTCCTACTGCCACACCCTTGGTTCCTGGATACCTGTTTCAGGGTCCCAGGTTTTTCCCACCAGGGCCCTGAACTGAACATGTGCTGAGCCTTTGGACAGCGCTGGGGTCCGGTGACTGATGATGAGGCCTCATCGATGAAACTCAGCGGGTCTGCTCTCTATGGCAGGAGATTCTTGACTGGGAGCAGCCTGGGAAGCATGGACTCAGCACCTTCACAATGATGGATTTCAGAGCCACCGTGAGGACCTTCAGTCAGAGATCTGCAGTCATGGTGACCACGCAAACTCTTCACTGTGCACTTATCATTGTCCCCGCAGTGTTTAAGGGTATGTGAGAGCATGCTCTGGAGTCAGATGGCTTATTGACTGTACCTGGCTCTTCTGCCTGAACCACACCATAAGGCATCACTTTCTGGCATCAGCTTCCTCATCTGTGGCACATACCTCATCAGGTTGGTGTGAGGATCAAAAGAGATAATGCATGACTTTTAAAGAGTTTATTTAAATGCCAGAAGAACTGGTCAAAATGATTCTAAAATACACATGAAAGTACACAATTGCCAAAAATTTTTTGAAAAAATTAGTATGGGTTGGGACCTTGGCTTGCTGTGTATTAAAGCTCACTATGGAATTGTTACAATCAAAGCAATATGGCTGCCGGCGACACCCACGTTCACACTTTTCCAGGGGACCAGCCTCTGGAACAGGAGGTAAGGGAAGTTGGCAAGCTGGATCCATAACTTCTGGGTAAGGACTGGCCCTAAGGGTGGAGTCAGTTGGGATGGGATGCAAAGTGGGGCTATATTCAAACAAAATGAACAAACAAACTATATGGCTTTAACCGAATAAAAATACATGGATTAATGGAACAAAATAGAAAAAAAAAACAGAAATAACTCCCCCCCCCCCAATATATATACATATGTGTGTGTATGTGTGTGTGTGTACATATATATATGGTTCCATTATAGAATAAGGTTCCATTTCAATTCACCAGGGAGAGGATAAGTAACTCAATGAACAGGGATAATTGAGGGGGGAGATTAGAACCCTACTTCATTCCCTGTGTTTCTAAGGGAAATTGATGGATAATGGGTACAAGGGCTGGGACTAAGGTGAGGCGAGAGAGCTACTCTTTGCGTGCAAACTAGAAGGAGGCACTCATTTTCAGGGTCATGCAGGTGCCTTGGGTGTGGGTTTTACCACAGCATTACTGATAGGATGAGGTGGTTGTGTACATTATTAGAGAAATCAGTGAGTAAGTTCCTGTGGTAAACTCATACCATGGACCACCACGGCTATTAAAATGGAAGAAGCAAACATGGAATATGCTCACAATACAGCATCTAAGTGGAAAGGGAAGTTGCAGATCATGTCTAGCATGATTTATGCTGTGCACATGCATGTATGTTTATGTAAGTTCTAGAAAATGCCCACAGATGGTTATGCATGGCTGCTCGTAGGGGATAGACTAGGGTGAGGTGAGAGAGAGAGATTTTTCTTCTTCAGCCTATAACTTTGTTAGTGGTGGGATTTGAATCAATTGTGGGGTTTTTTGTTTGTCTGTTTTTGTTTTGCTTTTGTTTTGGGGGGATTTTTTGTTTTTGCTTTAATTGTGTAGAATTTTTTTTAAGGGGACAAAAGCCAGAGGCAAATCTCTCTCAGAGAAACTATCCAGTTTAGCAACGTATGGGATATATTAGTTGTGGTCAGATTGTTCCAGGGCAAGGCTGGTGTAGGTGAGGGGGAGATTGGGGAGCTAAATTGTTGGGCATGATAGATGAGAACAATTTTAAACCCTAGAGTATGGGTGACAGCTCAGAAATAAATGACAATGGAGGGGAAGAGGGAACCAGCACAGGGCAGGAGGCCATAGCTCCTAAAGAAGACATTGGGCTGGTGAGAAACTCCTCGCACCTGCAGTGGCTGAGGAGCTCTAAAGAAACTAACAGTTGCTCATAAGTTGTTTCGCGTGCTGTGCAGTGATGCCTCTCCCCACTCACCCCCACTGTCAGCCCCAAGTCACCTGTCAAACTCCACTACATTAACTAGTTTTAAGGCAAGAAAAAGGACTCTGTGAGGCTGATGGAAAGAGAAAGGACAAAAGAAACACAGGAGGTGACATGCGAGATAAAGAGCTGAGCAGAGTTTTTTTTTTAATAGAGCAAGAACTAACCAGAAGTACTAGGATGACTACTATCAAAAAGACATAATACCCAGTGTTGGAGGAGATGTGGAGAAATCGCAGCCCTCATATGTTGCTGGTAGGAATGTGAAATGGTGCAGTTGCTTTAGAAATCAGTCTGGCTATTCCTTGAAACATATAGGTTTCAACAATTCCACTCCTAGGTCTACCCAAAATAAATGAAAACTTACGTCCACATAAAAACATATACAAATATTCATAACAGTTTTATTCACAATAGCCAAAAAGTGGAAAAATCCAATGTCCATCCACTGATGAACAGAGAAATAAGGTGTGCTATATTCATATAATGGACTATTTGGCAAAAAAAAGAAATGAAGTGCTTATAATACATACTACAACATGGATGAACCTTGAAAACATTGTTAAATGGAAAGAACCAGTTACACATTGTATGATAAGAAATAGAGCACGTTTTGTATGATTGTATAATTCCATTTATATGAAATGTCCAGAACAGGCAAATCTAGAGACAGAAAGTAATTAATGGTTAGGAAAGTAATTAAGGGGAAGGGGGGACTGCTAATGCATATGGGGTTTGGGGGGCATGATAAAAATATTCTAAAATTAATTGTGATGGCTGTACAACTGTGAGAATATGTTAAAATGATTTAATTGTATACATTAAATCACTGAATTTTGTTTTATGTGAATTATATCTCAATAAATCTTACCCAAAAAAAGTAACCAGAAGAAATGTAAGCTCCACCTCATCCCCAATATCCTAAGAGACTGGAGGAGCAGTGCTCCCAGGGACACACAGGAGTTCCCCTGCGGGAGGAGCTATGTGTGACCTGTGGGATAGAGAGCTTGGGCATCATTCTGCTTGCCTTGTCTGTCACACCCTTCCCCACCAGGCAGGGACACATGTGAAATGTGACATGTGAAATGGTCAGCCCAGGATCTGACATACAGGAAGGACTCAATAAATATTAACTCTTATTAAACATCATATTATTATCTCATTCTATGGCATCCTTAATTAAATTTCTTCCATTCTTCTAGCTCCCTCTGACCATAACACACATAAGTAAAGGCTCACACTATGAAAATTTATGAAGAGGGTTTTAGCTCTATTTATGATGTGAAAAAATCATAACTTGTTAAAGGAATTTTGAAATTGTCAGGAAATGCCTCGTTTGATTAGGATGGGGATGGTCAGGGAGCCTTCTCTTTCAACAGCAGAAATCACAATAGCCCTAGAGCAGGGTTTGATGTTTTGTGCAGGGTGGTTCTTTGTTCTTGGGGCTGTCCTGTGAGTCCAGTTTGGCAGCATCCCTGGTCTCCGCTCACTAGATGCTAGTAGCATTGGTAGCATCCTCCACCAGCTGTGGCCATCAAAAATGCCTCCAGACATTGCCAAATGGCCCCTGAGAAGTAAAAATTTCTCTCCCCTCCTCACACACACACATACACACACACACACACACACACACACACACACACACACACACCTGTCGAAAACCATGGCCCTAAAGAAAGATGTATGTCATAGTAAATTTTGAACTCTCTTTAACATCAGGAGGAAGTAGAAGATACTCAGGCAGATCCCAGGCTTAACAGAGAGCACCATTCTGATTGCCCTTTCTGTCACACACTTCTCCACACCCTGTTCCTAAACCCTATTCTTGATCTCTTCCTCTGTACCAACCTAATATCTGCCCCATTCTCCAACACCCCAAAGCATGTCCATAAGCTCTAGCTTTGATACTCAGATCTTTTGTTATCCATCCCAATCATTAGACATCTGAGACCTCAAATAAGTTTCAAATATGTAAGTTCATAGGGAGCAGAGAAGGGATTACACATGATAGGTGCCTGGCAGGTGGGCATATTTGGGGCAGAGCCAAGGAAGGGGGAAGAAGAATGAATGCCATTTATCGAGCAGCTATTTCATCTTTCAGGCTCATTTAGCAGTTTCATATATATTATTTCATTGAGTTTACACAATAACCTAGCATCATGGGCATTTTCCCTTTTTTACAAATAGAGAAATTAAGATTCAGGGAGTGTATGGTAGGTTGCCTGAAAATATGGCTGCCAAAATACCTCTCATCCCTGATGTGCATGCAGCTTCTCCCATCAAGAAATGGGGGTCAATTTCTCCCTCTTTGAATCTGGGCAGCTTCTGCTTTCTCCCTCTTGGAACCGTGTGGCCACCATGCTGTGAGGAAGCCCAAGCTGCCTTCATAGCAAGATCACATGGAGAGAAACCAAGACTGTAGTTTGGTTTTTGAATGAAATAACTTGAGTAAGCCCAGGAAAGACCAGCAAAAATAAGCCGACCCACAGAATCATGAGTATAATACATTTTTGTTTGTTTCAAACCAGTAAGTTTTGGGATAGTTTGTTATTCAGCAATGGTCAGTGGATGCAGGAATTAAATAACTTCTTCAAGATTATACAACTCTAAGCACAGATGAACCAGAACTTAAACATATGTTTGTTTATATCAAAGTTTCTGCTCCCCCTTGAAAGTGCACTTATCTATCCTCTAAAATGTAGGACTATCTACTGGGTTGAGGTGAAATGGTGTTGTGATGGTTTAACAGAAAGGGTATCAAAGAAATCAGAAGTTGACAATGTTATACCTCCAAGCAAAAAAAATAAGGAAATAATAATTAAAGATAAGATTTGATTGTAGAAAATTTATACTAATTAACTCTATTTATGGGAACTATGTTTATGGCTAATCAATATGCAGCATATATTGTTTAAATATAATTAATTATGGTATGGCAGTAAATTCTAAATATGTGCATATCTACTGCCACGTTAGTGACTTTCATCTTTGAAAATGAAAAATTGCTTGATAGGTAAATCCTAAATGTGCACCTCAATATTTTAGCATCTGATGGCAAAGTCAGAATGCATTGGCTTCCAGATGTAGCACTCACATCAAAAAATACAACTAAACCCAGGATTCTAGTGCCAGCAGGGGAAGTTCCCATAACTTCTGACTGTAAAAACCAGCAGAGATTGTGGCTGAGACTGAGGGCTGCTGGAGTCCTAGACTGTTCAGCTTAAAGGCCTGTGCATGGAGTTATTTGGACTCACTTCCTCAGAGCTCCAGTGCCGGTGTAGCAGCTCAAAAGGCACCAGGGACAAATGGGTAGGAACTGAATTGTCCAGCATCAGTGTGAGAGCTTCATGGCAGCTTTCTCTCAGATAGCAGTGCAGGCAGAAGCCATTGTTCCTTTAATGAGCCCTCTCTCCACAGAGCCTGCAGGAGGAGGTGCCATATCTGAGACTCCATCAACCTGGCTCACACTATTTGCCCTGTCCTGGTGATCCCTTGAGACCCTGTCCCACCAACTTAAGGCCCACCCAAGCTGGTTTCAGCGGTTTTTCCACAAATGGCCTATGCTTTAGACTTTCCTAAAAATCTCTCAAATAAGCAGTATCTAGCGTATCCTGTACCTCTAGCTAACTGGCCCGAGGCCCAGCACTAGCAGAAGCCAACCTTGGTTCAAAGCTTGGCCTCACCTGGGCACCTGCAAGCCCAACACAAATAGCAGCCATCTGCAGATTGCTTCTTAGATCATGTCAGGTAGCTCTGGGCAGAACACAGGCAACAGGTGACCTTGGCCTGTACCACCTGGGAGGCCCCAGAGCCAGAGCACCTGGTGGACAGCTTCAGACAGACCATGTCAAAGTACCACCCAACCACCTTCACAAGCAAAATATTCAAGGGGTGGGCTCAGTGGGCACCAGAGTCTCACTGAAATAAGTCCTACTCTGTGGGGTGGGCCTCTGCAAAGCTGGTTCCACATGGTGGTTACAACCAGTTCTTGCAGCCAATTGGCCTTGGGGTAAATCCCTCCCATTGACATGCCAACAACAATCAAGACTGACAATTCCTAACATTTTCAAACAACTACAATAGGAGGGTGTATACAGCCTCCTGGGGGAGCGGGGGGGCATGGTTACCTGGTGTACCCAGCTCAGTTGAACAGGGAGGCTGTGTCACAACCCTACAAGACACCTACTACATTAGGCCATTCTACCAAGCCCAGCAGATGTAGCAGCTCTATCTAATACATAGAAACAAACACAAGGAAGCTGCCAAAATGAAGAGACAAAGAAACATGTCCCAAATGAAAAAACATAACAAAACTCCAGAAAAAGAACTTAACAAAATGAAGACAAGCAATCTACTAGAGCAGCGGTTCTCAACCTGTGGGTCGAGACCCTTTGGGGGTCGAATGACCCTTTCACAGGGGTCACCTAAGACCATCGGAAAACACATATATAATTACATATTGTTTTTGTGATTAATCACTATGCTTTAATTATGTTCAATTTGTAACAATGAAAATACATCCTGCATATCAGATATTTACATTATGATTCATTACAGTTATGAAGTAGCAACGAAAATAATTTTATGATTGGGGGTCACCACAACATGAGGAACTGTATTAAAGGGTCGCGGCATTAGGAAGGTTGAGAACCACTGTACTAAATGCAGAGTTCAAAACACTGGTCATAAAGGATGCTCAATGAACTTAGGGGAAGAATGAAAACTTCAATAGCATGAAAAAGGACATGAAAACCTTTATAAAGAACCAGGAAGAATTACTGGAATGAAGAGTAATTCACAGGGAATCAATAGCAAAGTAGATGAAACTGAGAATCAAATCAACGATTTGGAATATAAGGAAGCAAAAAACACCCAATCAGAATAGCAAAAAGAATAAAGAATCCAAAAAATGAGGATAGTGTAAGGAACTTCTGGGATAACTTTAAGCTACCAACATTTGCATCATGGGGGTGGCAGAAGAAGAGAGGGCACAACCCAGGTACATGCCCTTGACCGGGAATTGAACCTCAACCCTTTAGTATGTGGGCCGATGCTCTAACCACTGAGCAACAGGAATCAGGGCATATTTCCTTTTTAAAGTAGACTACAATTCTGTCATATGTCATAGTTTTCCCATATGTGGCCTTGCCAGAGTGTCCTTCATAGAGAGTTAAAGGCAATTTAAAATATCTGCAAGATGCGACATCGGAAGTCTGTGATAGGGTCTGAGTGACCAAAAGACCACGTACTGTTGGAGGTCTCAGACACTCTTGGTCCCTAATAGTGAGGTCTTTAAACTCAGCAATGAGTAATAAAGCAAGATCACAGAATCAGCCGGGTGCATGAAGCTTTTTTAGAAGTCGGTAGAGGCCTCTGTCTGTCCAAGCTTGTTTGTGTGTCATTCTGTTAGGAGGAGAGAGATAGGGAGAAGGGTTCAAGGTCCTTTGGCCTTTAAGAGCGGCTGGAGCTCCAGATCAATCTGTTTTTCACTGGTGGTGAATGAACCTTGGATTGATGGGAGGGAGGGGCAGAGGGAGGTGGCGTAGAAGGGGGTGGTTGAAGGGTGGGACGAAGGTAAGGGGGAATATTTCTGTTTCTAGTTAACACTTTGTGTCTACTATATCATTATAGGGGGGGAAATGAAAACTTAAAACAGCCTAAACTAATTACGAGTGGGGAATATGTAAAATGATATGATGCTACGTGGCCCCTGGATAGCGCCTGCTGTATTTCTACATGTGACATGTTATAAATAAAGCCCAAACCAAACCATAAAACTCGAAGAAAAAATGGGGAGGAGAAAAGC